TGGTAAAATATAGCCTTGATTGATAAACTCACGTGACTGAGTAGATCATATTATTAAGTTTCATAATATTTCCATATGTTAAGGTCTTAAAGGGTTCAAACATTCAGTGGATTTTTAGCGACGTTCTACTAAACATTTTTGTCTTCTTGTTGTGTGGATTTGAAGTTTGGTAACTCGAAGTGCTTCATAGTTGAGTCATGCTGTACTATTTTTATGATTGAATTTATGTAATAATTACTACCTGATATTTGGTGAGTGCTTTTGGACGTTCCACTATGTCATATTAATACAGAAATGATCATACTGACTTTGATTAATATCAAGTCAACCAATAAATCATTGATTTCTTCTTACTAAAAAACACTAAATTACATTATCTTTCTGAAAAGAAATTTGATTTGAAAATAAGAACAATAATTTTATAATGAATAAAATATTAAACTAACGGATAAATAATGACAAAACTCTAATAAACTGTGCTCAGTGGAATTTCATTTCAGTAGTTTAACAGTGATTCAAACGTCGGGAGACTCGGAGTTCATAGACCCTATCTCATGTATAGTTGGAGTTAGTATTATGTTTATTTTAGGAATACTGTGTTTAGGATGATGCTTATCATATGTAAGCAAATCTCATAACTAAATAACACTGAACGGCCTTTTCGTCCTATTGTGGGACTCAGCAGTGCGTATCCACGATCCCGCCATATGCTCACTAGTGAATGGCTTCAAGAGGTATATCCTGGAGTTCTAGAGAGAAGGAGTGACCAGTGGAGTTCAACCGGGTCTTTTATGAGATAGTAACTTACTGCGGAGGAAGAAGTCAGGAAGAAGCGCTGGAAGTGGATAGGACACACATTGAGGAAAGCACCCAACTGCGTCACAAGACAAGCCCTCACATGGAGTCCTCAAGGCCAAAGGAAAAGAGGAAGACCAAAGAACACATTACGCCGAGAAATGGAAATAGACATGAAAAAAATGAACAAGAATTGGATGGAACTAGAAAAGAAGGCTCAGGACAGAGTGGGTTGGAGAATGCTGGTCGGTGGCCTATGCTCCATTGGGAGTAACAGGCGTAAGTAAGTAAGTAACTTACTTTAGACGATGGTGGATGTGCCAATGAATTTCGTGGATTAGTTTAAGTTAGATATTAACACCGTTGGATGCCAGCTCAGTGGCCTAGTGGTTAAGCGCCCGCGCGAGACTGATAGGTCCTGGGTTCGAATCCCGCGAGGTGGGGTCGTGGATGCGCACTTCTGGGGAGTTCGATGCTAGGACGAAATGTCCGTCCAGTGCTTGCAGGTATTCCGGGGTGGTCTAGCTTCAATTGACTCATGATCTAAACTATTAAAATTACTATAATATCCACAATACCCCTTTTGATACGTAAGGTATATATGCATATTTGGAATACAGTGTTTATATCTTAATAAGAATTTTCGAAACCTTGATGCTGTTTACATTTAGATTTATTTCAGTTTATCTACTGGCCTTATTCTCGTTTAAATGTTACATTACAAATAAAATTTTATCTGTTCTCATTTAAGAAGAATATTTTCATACGGAATTCATGTAGTTATTTGACTAAATATATGATAACCCTTTTATCTAGTATTCATTTCGTCTTTGTAAAGTCAAATATTCTTTTGTATCTCTCCGCCATTGATGGGGATAGTGATTAGAAACATCTAAAAAATTAAATTCCAACTAATGAGGATACTTAAACTGTAGAATTATAATCAAGTCAGCTATGAGAAAATTTCAATTCAAAGTGATCCTAATTTTTTAGTAATGTTATCTTTAGAAATCCTTATTCAATTAGAATGTCATAAGTTGCTTATAACATACGCGTTATACTACTGAGAGAAGCAAAAAACGTGAGAAAAAATGAAGTTTTTAAAAAAAAATTTCTCCATTCACTGATATTAAATAAAGTAAACAATAATAGTTTATCCAGAATCATCTAGGCGGATATGATATGATCAAACCGATTTTGATTGTACTAAATATTCTTTGTTTCTCTTTACTGTTTAAAATTGTTTTAATTTAATTCACTTATTTGTTCTTTGAAGAAGTCACCAACATTAAACTGTGAAGCATCAGAAATTCAATTTTCTATTCACTGCGATATTAGAAATGTATCATTTTATTATCATACATTACTTTTACACTAAAAACACCCATACACAATATCCTTCATGATTACTACTTGTTTAATAATGATTATAATAATTACTTTTTGTTCATGCTAACTAAATTGAATTCATTTGTAAAGGTTTATATTTTAAAAAAACGTTGGTGGATATCTGGATTCAGTAGCTTGGTGTATAACTCATTGCTATTTGAAATAGTAGGTTCCATTTCGGAGTCTGAGTGTACACATCAACACTGGAATTTAGGCACATTCAGCTGACGAATGCTAAACTGGATGAAACACATGTCCTGGCTTCTACTTCTGATCACAATCCAAATGTATTAAACATCAATTTTTCGAAAACATTTTGGAATCAGACCAATATATTAAATACAAAGTAAACTAAATAAATGCTGACATATTCAAAAATTTGTTTGCAAGATTGAACTAGGTAAATGAATTGGACATGAAACAATAACGAGTACCAGCGTATGGACCTAGTTGTTTCTCATTATACGAAAAACAGATCTTCTGGATGGACCGTTATGTTACATACAGCAAACAGCACTTGAATACATTATTTCAATTATGTTTCATTGAACCCCAAGTTTACTTCGATAAGCGTTTATTCAATAAAGCTATTTGAAATTCATAATATTTAACTCACATCTATCGTATAAGTTTGACGCGATTCACCCTGGTTATTTTGGAGGTGTTGAGTTCTCTGGACTGGTTGGTTGAATCGTGAGGCTTTCATTGTCTTTATAAACGTCATCTACATATACTTCAAAAAGAAGCGAGCTATTAGAATTTCTCCATAAATGATTAATATGCTAGTTCTATTATGATGAAACCATCCAGCTTAGAGAACGAAACACTTTCAAATTCGCCCGATTGAGCCACGCTTATTCACTATAATCATTCTATTTATTGGTATTTTATTTAAACCATTTGATTTGAAGTAGTGGTTACATTATTAAAAATTGTCTTGTATTTTATACCTAAATCATTGTATTCAGGTAACGATCAACGATAAGTTATTATATTAATACATACTTCATCTTTCTGACACAGTGGTAAAAATTTTATTGCCATTTCAATCTTTAAGCTGATTGGGATGTTGTTTTAAAAGAAATGTTACGTTACATGATAATGTTTATTCATTGTTAATGTTTCCTCAAATATATATATGCGCGATAGTATAGCTTGATGGTAAATTCGTTGAACAGAGATCCCTTCGCTGAACTTCTTGTTTTTTGATGCGGCGCAAAATAATTCCAAAGATATCCATTTTGAGAACCTAATACAGTCCCACGAAATGCGCTTCAGTGTCTTGATCGACCTCAATCTGATAACATTTAACTTCTGTAACAGGCACCGTGATTATTTGGTTAGTGCCTTTAATGATAGATGTGAACTGCCATCGTTTTACATAAATCTAAGAATTTAAAAAGTTTATTAAATAGTCCACTTTTAGTTCAGAATGACCTATGAGTTTAAATAAAGTGTGAAAGTTATTCACTTGATCCAAGACACCTGAAGATATAATATGATAATGCCTCAAAATTGTTTTTCACTGGTTTGATTATTTCTGACGATTGTGGATACAGCTAAATTTTTGGAAAATTCTACTACCTACTGATAATAGTATTAAGACTGCATTTCCAAATATTCCATAAGTGTGGTGTCTGTTTATATAATTCATAGTGAAATAAAAGTATCAGTATAAGTGATAAGAAAAAGAATAAACGAGAATATTATCATCATCCATTTGCTGAAACTCACCTGTCTAGTAGCAATTTTTTCAACAGAACTAAATCACATGCCACGCATTCTAATCCGCTGTCAGTGATCTTCGAGCACCATGATAAATTCAATGATATTAAACGTTTTAAATTTTCACATATCACATCTAAACCGTCATCAGTTAGTTTGCTGCATCCACTTAAACTCAAAACTTGTAGGTTGTTCAGTGTATAGGCCAGTGTCATAATACCTTGATTTGTTACATCCATACACTGAGTCAATTCCATTGTATGCATATTAATTCGTTGTTTTGTACTGAAATAACTTAATGCTGCATCTGTTATATGATAAGCTTGAAATTTAAAACATTTTAATTCTGGTAATAAATGTCCAATCGCATTCATACTTTCATCTGAAACATTGATACAATCAAACACTGTTAAACATTCAATGCTCGGTAAAAGACAAGACCAAAATGCTAATTCAGTAAAATCGTTACAACACTCAAATTCCAATTGTTTTAAAGAAGGAAATAAATTTATTAAACGTGACAATGATTGGTCTAGTATACTACATGATTTAAATATTATATGAGTGAATTTATGTGTATATGATGAATTACTATTAATGTTCTCCAGACTTGAGCGATCTGAAGAAATAGAGTTTTTAGAATCACTAATTTTTTTAAATTTCCATGTATCACTTGATGCTGAAGGTGAATCAGTATTTAATGATAATTTATTTTGTGTAGCATAGTTTACTGTTATAAGACTATTGTCTTGTATAAAACCATTTTGTTGTTGTTGTCTTTTCACTTGGTTTTGGAATGAATTAATAAAATCATTTGTCTTTAACACTGGGTTATTATTCTCGTCTTTTTCATTTATCCATGTTGAATAATTTTCATTTGATGTCAATAAGATTCGGTTGTTGAATGTTTTAGTTTTAGTTAAGGTGTTTGCAACTGTTGTATTTATCTGAGGGAAATACGTTTCTATAGTGGAGGATTGTGATAGTGATGTCAAAATTACGTTTTGATTTGGGCTTAATAGCATTTCTAGTATATTATACAATACTGAACTAAATCTCTCAACTAACTGTACAATTTTAATGGTTTCCAGGTGTCTGTTTATAGCGGATACAATGCGAATTCGTATAGAGTCTTCTAAATAACTGTACAATAAATCATTTGGTAATGGAATGTGATCACTATGGTTTGAAATAATAACTGGATCTTTATAGTCTGCATATTGATTCGATTTCGAATTCTCGTGACTGTTTTCTATTTCCCTAATTAATTTTTTGATGTTTAAAACAAAGCATAATTTATTCTGGAAACCATTTAAACACATAAATTCATACCATGTACGGCATACGATTGAATAGTGAATCAGTTCATTTCCAGTTAAATAAACAAATATATTATTCATGAAATTCTTATTCAACCATAATGATTCAATTGTATGTGGACAACCCCTTTTTTGACGTCTTACATAATCTCGATAACGTGTACATGATAGTTTCTTAACTGGAATGTTTAAATTAATTCGTAGTCCTTGATTTACCAATCTTTGTTTTATGGCAGCTACTGTTGTTCCACGATGAGATGATAAGGGTGAAGAAGACGATGAAATTGAATTATTTGAATAACGATTGGATGTATAGCCGGTTGAATCGCTACCATTGATACTATTATTGTTACTAACAATACTGTTTTTACAGTTACGTGCAAGAATAGCTAAACGATGTGTCATAGTCGGCGAAAGTGTAGCTTTGAATGTGAATGGGGAATCTGTTAAACTATTTATATTACTATGAGCACGTCTGTCATTAGCAGCATTGCTATCTGATGAAGGCTTATTTTTCATTGTAAAACTATGTTTTGGCACTGGGCTACTGGGTAACGAGTTTGAGATCTCCGAATTCGATAATCGATAATCAGAATAATTTGAAATCACAGTTTTTAACGAATCACTATTTACAAATCCATTAGGTATAATGTTTTTTCTATTTTGTGTCATTGCTATTGTACCAGAAGAAATTGTAGCGTTTTCAAGGGAATTTATTTCAGAATGCTTTACAACCACTGACTTCCCCGATAATGATGAGTCTTCTTTTTCATCTGAAATTCTACCGCCAAGATTTGTGCTACTAATACTAGTAGTATTGCTATTGGTGTTACTTGCATCGCTAGCAGTGATGTTATTAGGGATAAAGAACAGTTTATTACAAAGGGTACATTTATCATCTGTAAAGTGTTCACTGTTCTTATGATTCTTCTCAAACCGATTTTTTTCTTCAGTTGAATTAATAACGGAATGATGATTGTTAGTTTTAGAATTATTGGCTACAATTCTGTTAGTGACTGAAATGATATATTCATTTGTCACGGGGTTTTTTATTGTATCCGACTCAAAATTTAAAACAACTGATGACTTAGTCATTGTAGCTGTTGAATTGTTCACTGTGACCGTGGAAGAAGTGGTTGTAGCATTTGATTTAGTAAAACGTAAATTTTTCAAATTGTTAGAAAAGTCTATACATGCTTTGGCAAATGATGTCATATTGTTACAAACATTCCTGAGGTAACTAGGATGAAAAATAAAAAAAAAGCATTACGAAACACCATTAATAAGTTATGAATACACAACGTCGTATGTTTTTTCATTAAGTTACAGTTTACTCATTTAAGACAACTCTTATTATTTTCCTAAGCATAGCGCATATCCTTCACTCAGTTGCAGTAGTCATAGTTACCATATTTCAGAAGCGATAACAGATATAGGTCGAACCGTGTTATTTTGGGCATTTTTCTAGAAAGTTGAATATTATGATAGAAGTTTATTCGTAATTGATAATATCTAATTAAAGTGAGTTTATTTAAGCGAGCATTAGTTGTACAGGATAAAGAAGTCTAAAATTATCTTTTATGGGGAAACTAAATATCATTCTTTCACCCAGAAAATACAGGTGTTTATTAACAGTTGTCTACGCAAAATAATTCAGATCTGTTAGCCGGACACTATTAGCAACAACGTACTGTGGGAGAGAACAAACCAGATCCCAGCGGAGGAAGAAGCGCTGGAAGTGGATAGGACACACATTGAGGAAAGTACCCAACTGCGTCACAAGACAAGCCCTCACATGGAGTCCTCAAGGCCAAAGGAAAAGAGGAAGACCAAAGAACACATTACGCCGAGAAATGGAAATAGACATGAAAAAAATGAACAAGAATTGGATGGAACTAGAAAAGAAGGCTCAGGACAGAGTGGGTTGGAGAATGCTGGTCGGCGGCCTATGCTCCATTGGGAGTAACAGGCGTAAGTAAGTAAGTAAATATCATTCTTGGGTAATAGCAAATTCAAATGAATGACAGTAATATCGTATCACGAACACATAGAAGAATGTAATTAGCAGTAGGTCGACCGTAACTACAGCTAGACTTAAAGTTGGAAAGAATAAAATTGTTGTGTTTACTTTTTATTAAGTTTTCTGATTAATTCATTCCTCAAGTCGATCATCATTGTTTCTATGATGTTGAATATTTTAAATTGATTGAAAGATGAATTGATGAAGAATATCCCACCTATTGTGAGATTCCACTAATAAACTCTTATTTTGAATTCTTGATAAAGAAATTTTTTCGATAAGCCCTATCAGCATCTCTATAATTCAAAAGTATCTCTATGTTCACTTCTGTCCAAACTAATAGTGAGAATGTCAGTGTAAGGTTTATTTTCGTTTAGAAAAAATATATTGTTCAACTTAAAATTATATGTAATCACGTTTGTAAATCAAATTGTATTCTTCAATCAACAGGGTTATTGTCAGGTGTGGGTTGAATACTACACATCTTCTTACTGTATACATGAATTTGGATTTACATCGGTCCAACAAATGTATGTCAGAGAAATATGTCAGTCAGTTCTCTGTTTGAAACTCAAATAGGCGTTGACAGTCATTGGTCAATATTGTGTCTGTTAGGTGAAACTATCTAATATGTTAATTAAACCACAATAAAAATTATCTATCACTACCGAAATAGCTTTGTGTTAATGGTTATGATACTTTTACTAGGATGTTAAGAATCTATGTTACTATGTTCAGATAGAGGATTTAAAAAGTATGGCTACTTTTTTTATTTGTTCCAGCTAATATCTGTTTTCAGATGACCTTGTTATTTGTAAATTAAACTTACCAAAATGACTAAAGACCACTGAGAAAATCATTTCTAACCATCAATATAATCAAAGAACAGTAGCATACCATAACTTACTTAAGTATATTATACAGCCACGTTAATTAATAATAGCTATATATTATGGATTGTATTAAAAGACAATGCAAATCTTTCATTTTAATCATACGTTTAAAGTGAAGGAACAAGCAGCTGTGCAGCATACTGTACAATGTTTATCAACAGACTGTAATCATCATCAGAACAGATAAAAGAAGGTAAATTAGTAATCAATATGAGTATAGAAATATACAGTTGGAACACAGTTGGTTGGATTTTTGGATAGGAATTTTGGTATGAAATGAATTTCCACACAACATATATACCTGTTAATGTTTAAAAGTATAGAACTGTTTGCAAACCTAGCTGATTAATTTTCATGTGTATTCGAAACCGTCATGTTTCTTTCCTCGTATTTTGACAGTTAGTTTATTAGAATCTTAGAATGACAATTTTGGGACAATTCATTGAGAGTTTATAAAAAATTTTAACTTGTTTCAAATAACATATATAATATGGAGAGCCAATCAGAAGTAGCCTAATGAGAAGGTCAATCGATGGCAATCAGATGTTACCTAAAGTACAAGTACATTTCATTGGGTAAGGAATGGATCAATTTCCTAAGAACTAGAGTGGTATATATATGAATGAGTATCTGTGTATTTTATCCGGTAGCCCAAAACACTTTCTCGCTTACTCTTGTGTTCTCGCTTAAGTATTCAGTGGTAGGGTTAGTACGTAGCATATCGTGTATCAGTGTCATATATATATAAATATATAATAGTTTTGGAGTGGGAAAAACTGTGACAGAAATGCTGTCTTGGTCACATGATTAATGTCTTTAAATTGTTTCCAATTTTATTGAATTAAATTTTTTATGTAGTTCATTACACAGGTTGAAATCATGAATCAGTTGAAGCTAGACCACCATTGAAAACCTGGAAGCACTGGACGGCCGTTTCGTCCTGGTATGGGACTCCTCAGCAGTGCGCATCCACGATCCCGCACCACGCGGGGCTCGAGCCCAGGACCTACTGGCTTCGCGCGCGAGCACTTAACCATTAGACCACTGAGCGGGCATCCAACGGTGTTAATGTCGAACTTCAACCAATCCACGAAGTTGCGCCACCATACACCATTGTCTTCAGTGAGTTGTTATCTCACAACAGACCTGGTTGAACTCCACTGGTAACGGCTTCTCACTAGAACTCCAGGAGTTTTTCCTGGAGTCAGTCACTAGTGAGCAGTTGATTATTATCAGAATGGGTTTTGTGGAGAGTTTTAGAAATTACACAGGTTGAAATCATGAGTCAGTTGAAGCTAGACCACCATTGAAAACCTGGAAGCACTGGACGGCCGTTTCGTCCTGGTATGGGACTCCTCAGCAGTGCGCATCCACGATCCCGCACCACGCGGGGCTCGAGCCCAGGACCTACTGGCTTCGCGCGCGAGCACTTAACCATTAGACCACTGAGCGGGCATCCAACGGTGTTAATGTCGAACTTCAACCAATCCACGAAGTTGCGCCACCATACACCATTGTCTTCAGTGAGCTAATATCTCACAACAGACCTGGTTGAACTCTACTGGTGCGGGATCGTGGATGCGCACTGCTGAGGAGCCCCATACCAGGACGAAACGGCCGTCCAGTGCTTCTAGGTTTTCAATGGTGGTCTAGCTTCAACTGACTCATGATTTCAACCTGTGTAATTTCTAAAACTCTTCACAAAACCCATTCTGATTTTATGTAGTTCATTTAAAAAATATTTCCATACATTAACTTTTTACTTTAAAACAGATGGCAAACTACATGAATACAGTAGTTACGAAAAGATAATTTCAATAGTCTTTGAGTTATTTGCTAATAATTACCATAGAGATAAGATTTAGTAAGATTTACTATTTAAACAAAATGATTAAGTGACTTAAGTGAGAATAAACCGAAAAAATATCACTTCATAATTATTTACGTTTCAACATGAATGATAAGTAGGGACATTTTTTATTGAAATGTTAGCCGAAAACGCATGTGAGAAATAGTTTTGTGTATTAATTACAATTGTGATTAGATTAATATCATAAAATGAATCATTGTTAAGTATACAAATCAAATAGAACCGAAGCCAGAAATTAAATTAAGCAATGGC